AGTAACTGTTTTTGCAGTAATATATTCTTCTTTGGGCAGTTGATGTTTGTGTAACCTGTGTGTTGTGTAACAAACTCTAACATTTGTTAAACTTTGTTTTGTGTAGTAATATTTATTTGTTAACTTGTGTTTTCTTCTCTTGTGTAGTTTCTGTACTTGGATATTTGTGTAACAAAAGCATACAAAGATAGGTAAAGGTACAGAACATAGCTCCCATAAATCAATAGAAACAAAGAAGTGAACACATTACACTAGTAGAAGATTTAACATCATCCAAATAAGAGAATACATTACAAAAGCATATGGAAACTAGAGTGTCCAAAAGGTTTTAACATCATAGTTGAAAACACAACACACATTACATAATCCATAACCAAACAAAAGACAATCACCAGTACACATAATCCATAACTAAACAAAAGACAATCACTAGTACACTCCATCACAAACATTCTACTAAACAAAAGTACAGAACTAAGCAAAACACAATCCATAGTTCTGCAGCATTCTACTAAACACAATCCATAGATCTGCAGGTTCTCTTCATCATTTTATGAGGCATGAGAGGAGCTGAAAGAGAACAAAAGCCACAACCAAACAAATGCATGTTCTCTTCATCATTTCAAGGCTCTTCTTCAGTTTTTCATTTTCAGCTTCCATGGCATTCACCTTACGTAGTAATCCTGGGATTATAGCCATTGCTCGACGACACATTGGAGGGTCCTCCTATTCGAAAAATTTGCAACCACCTCTCTGAGAAGGAACAAAAAAAAAGAACAATTTGACTCAAGAACCCTAATTTGAGATTCAAGAAACCTAATTCAATTGTGCAAATTAGTTACTTTCCATTGAAGACAAGAACCCTAAATTTAACCATAATTGAAGAATAAGAACCCTAAAATAGTACAATAAAGAACCCTAATTGAATATATTAAATTACTTACCTTCCATTTAAGACAGGAATGGAACCTTCGTCCAGGATTGTCGTCGGTCCATGACGTGCGAAGCACAGCTCTCTTCCCACAGTAGCAGTCAATGGCACTCGTCGTGTGCGACATTATTCTTTCTCTTCGATTTTGGCAAGAATGGAAATGAAGGAAATGAAGTTTGTTCGTTCTGATTTCAATTTTTATTCCCAAATCTGTTTTTTTT